AAATCAATGGGTAAAAAAAAAAGAAAGAAAATCAATAGGTAAAAAAAAAAGAAAAAGAAAAAAAAAAAGAACCGACCAATGAACGCTTAAATAAGTGGAACAACAAATCGATGCCTCTCTCTCTCCCTTCCTCTCTCTATCTAAAAATCAATAAAGTAAAAAAAAAAATTAAATTCCAGCCCCTCTCCCGGCCGAGTGTCGCCCGGATACGCCAAGGTTGCAGGTTTCGATCTCCCCGTCAGGGCACATACAAGAAGCAACCCCATGAATGCATAAATAAGCGGGACGACGGATCGATGTTTCTTTCTCTCTCTCTCTTCTTTTTTTTCTTTCTCTTAAAATAAAATAAAAATTCCACCTGCCCTTCCCATAGCGCATCCTCTGCTATTATCAAATTCACCACTACTTTCCGAGAACGTGCGAAATGTCAGAGCGGGCGGGGACCTCCGAGACTCCCAGCAACTCGTCCCACACGCTCGCCGTGCAGCGGAGCAAAGGGAGGCCCAGCGCCGGGGCGCCGGCCGCCGAGTTGGGGCTGAAATCCAGTTTCCTGCCTCCCTGCCCGGGATTTTCCTCTGCCCCGGAGCTGGGTCCTGCAGCGGGGCCGGGGTGGGGGGGGGTGCGGACACCCGACAGCTCCGCAAACAAAACCCAGCAACTCCGCGGCGAGCGAACACCTGTCCCCGCGGAGAGGGCGCAGCCCGACTCCAACCTGCGGCTGCGACCCGGGCACAGAACAAGTCCGTAGCGGGACAATGTGGCAGAGGGAGCCGGCGGGGCACAATGGCCGAGGGCGAGCTGAGCTGGTCGCCGAGAAGCAACGAGCCCCCGAGGTCCCGGGAGCACCCGGCGGGGGTCCCCGGAGCACCCGACGGGGGACCCAGAGTTTCCAGCCCCGCGCCACCTCTCCAGCCGGGAAACGGGCTCTCTGCCGGCACCGCGGATAAAACGCCAGGGGACCGTCACCGACCCCAGAACATGGGACAAGCCTCCGAGAAGTTTCCCGGCGCTGGGGCTCCGG